ACCATGTCCTATGGCACCCCTACCTCCCGTTTATTCTCCTCTGCTTAGAATGTACTGTGTATACAGTATAATTCCTGATATTTACCATGGTCATAATAAATCAGCTGAAATGTGTGTAGTATTTTAATTACATATCAGTGGCTGTCAGGGCTAACATCAACATTAATTAAAGAAATGAGTGTATCATTACATGAAATCGGGCATCAAGGAAGCATACTTATAAGGAAAAGCACAGCAAAGCATAAACTCCACTATATTTAAAGGAATTTAGGATAAATTACTAACTTAAGTAAATATACTTTTTACAAGATTACATATTTAGTTTTAATATATGTCTCTGTAAATTCAAATTAATTATGAAGACAATTAATGAAAATTCAACTGTGTGGGCATTGAAATAACCTTTAGTAAAATTTATAAGACAACTTTTTGAAAATGTATGTATCTAATATTTGGCAAATAACAATGACTGCCACCAATGGGACCAAAAATTACAGTAGCTTATACGAGATAAAATTGTATTTCTATCTTCTATAATCATGTATAAATTGGTCATTAGTCCAGTTAGTCCAGGGACAATAAGTTACTCTTTCATATTCAGCATATGACTTTCATATTTTGAACCACGACTATTGGAAAAGGACATTCTTTAAAAATATGGTATTATGGCAGCCCAACATTGTAAATCTTTTCAGGATCCATCAACAATAATAGTCATCTTATCAGTACATGTCTAAGGAGGGTATCTCTCTCCATTCCTGTGTAGTTAAATATCTTAAGTGCTTCTGCAAGTTTTAAAGAAATGGAAAAGTGACCAAAAACTTTGATAATGAAAAGTTCAATATCATAGGTAAACAGATCATATCCATTTTTTTAAATGTTGTGTACAAAGTATGAAGGACATTTAGCTGGTAAGACCTTTTCATTTTATTTGATAGTTGTGGACTGAATAGAATTTGCCAAAATTCACATTTGCACTGTCGACTACATATGCAGATAATTGAGTAAAGGCTAGTTTGTATATTTGGATAAAATGTGAGCAATCTTTTGTTTTATATTTTCTCAATTTTATTAAAACTTCATAGAAGTTAAGAAGATGTTTTGAAACTTCTTTTTTTTAATTTAAGTATCTTAAGAGGTAGGGAAAATTTTTGTTGTTGCTGCTGTGTTTTGACGTAGCACTTAACATACTGCCAGAAGCACAGTTATTAGTACGATCTGAAAGAATCAGCCCCACAATAAAAGAGGAGAGTCATCTTTTATCACCATTTCCCCATTTGTTCACACTCACAGTATTTTACTTGGGGGTCTATGAACCAGGAAATGTAACTACTGAGTTTCGGAGAGATATTGGGGAATAATACAAATAATACAAAAATGCATGTTCATTTGGGTGATGTGGCCAAGCTAATTCAGGTCTATCTACTGTTTCAACTGAGCAATGTTGTCTTGAGAAGGCCAAATTTAGAAATACTGCCTTTCTCTTCCTGAACTTGTGAGGTTCAGTGTCCCAATATGACTTTCACATCTCTTGTCCACCAGGCCCAATCACAAATTATTTTCTTTGAGGGATGCATTAGGCTCTGTCTCCACTTTTTTACCTTTAGCCTAGCTGTGTTTCTATTTGTCATTCAAACAACAGTCCTTTAGCATTCTTTTTCTCTGTCTGGATCTTACTAGTGCTGTTCTCTGATTGCTTCTTTCCTGTAACTTCTTTTTCTTATGTTTTGGATGCAATATCTACAATTTTCTCTCTGAGGATAATAATTACAGTATTTTTTAAGTTTTTTTCTGTTTTCAACACTGCCTATGAATTGTCCAGTTTTCCTTTTGTTCACTATACCTATGTCTTTCTGGCATACCTTTCCTCTTCATGTCTGGTAAAAATCTAAGATAAGGGACTACAGTTCCAGTTGGCAGCTCTGTGTGCATGACTGGGGCTTGTGACTTGGAAAGCCTCACTTTAGGATGATTGTCACCTAGAGGTCTTCAGGACCATGTAATGTCTCTTATCTCCTTTCTAGGAGGTAGATGCTTGGTTGCTGACATTCTGAGCAGGGTGGAGAAACCGGCTGAGAAGATTGTATGCATATTTTCACTCCATCCTCTCCTTTCAGCGATAGGCTTTACTCCCTCCTTCTGCTGAGATGGGTATCCTCAAGTCTGAAATTGCTGCAGAGAAGTCCTGAAGTATGGGGATTCACTTGTTTTGTATTCATAGTTTTAGGCAGCCTTCCTATTTAAAGTAATTTTGGTCAGAGATGAAGGGGACTGCCTTCTTGCCATCCTCTCACCAATAAGTTGATATGTTTGTGTATAATGGTGAGTGAAATACTCAGAACTCCAGGAAAGATTCAGTAGACATAAAGTGTCTCCTAAGAAAGTCCTTTTTATTTTCTACTCAGAGAATACTAAGGGACTAGATGTGTGACTTAGTGGCAGAGTGCCTGCGTAGTAAGCCTGAAGTCCTGAGTTCAAACCCCAGTACTGTGGGGGGTGGGGAGGAGAAGGAAGAAAGGAAGGGAGGGAGAGGGAGAGAGAATGAATAAAACTATTAAGTAATAGAGCATTTATGTTGAGTTGTTCAGTCTTTCTTTTGCTTAAAAAAGGTTGAAAAATAAGTGATGTCTGGTGAAATATCATGCAAGCCACACATATGATTTAAATTATATAATAATCATATTTAAAAAGAAGTAGGTAAAGCACTGGGGATGTAGCTTAGTGATAGAGCACTTGCTGGCACATACAATGCTCTGGATTATATCACCAGCACAAAGGAAAGAAGGTAGGAAGAAGAAACTAAGAATTTCAACAAGTAATTGATGTGATTTATATAAGTAATTGATATGAAAAATATTGAGCTGTTTTACATTTTTCCATACTAAATCTTCAAAGTCCAGTGTGTTCTGGACACTGTTCCTTTCACTGTGTTATTTGTATAAATTTTCTCTTTGGAATGAAATGGCCAAGCCTTGGGATATCAGTCCTTGCACTGTCTTTCTCCAGATAAAGATTTGGGATACACCAAATCTTCAGATGAAGGATTGTGACACAGCAAATGGCCAAGAAATCACAATATGTAGATGCAGAATTCTCCTGGTGTCTTCTAATATGTACCTCATTTTCACCATTTCTAGTCCTCTGGTCTCTAGAGTGTGCAAGTCCTAGACATGTCCGTGGTTCTAGGGGAAGGCTAACTGCCATTTTATCTGCTCTCTGCTTTGTAGCACTCACAGTCTAGTTTAATTCACTAAGTTAAACCACTCCTTTTTGTTTTTCAAAATCTATTAAGGTATCTTATCCACCAGTTTCTCCTCTTGTATTCTCTATGTTTTGCGGTGACTTGATATTTTTTTATCTCTTTATAATCACATTAGTGGGTTTTGGCAGCTGAGAAGGTAACACACATAGACAGTCTACTGTAGTTGACCAGAAGTCTATCAGTTTGTTATTTCAAAAATCTCCTCATACGTCCATTCACAGGCTTAAAATAATGTTTGGGAATCTTCCACTCCCCATTAGTCTTAACAGTTTATCCTTCCAAGAATTGTGTCTTCATCTCAAAAGAGGTGATTTCTCTCCAACCTCTCCTGTTTATTTTGTTTTAAAAGTTGGCATTTTCAGTTTCCACATAAGAGTGAGATCATGTAGTAATTGTCTTTCTGTGTTTGGCTTATTTCACTAACATAATCTCCAGTACAAATAACAGGACTTCATTCATTTTATTGCTGACTAGTATTCCTTTGTATATGTGCACCACATTTTCTTTATCCATGCATCAGTTGATGGACACTTAGGTTGTTTCCATTTCTTGGCTGTTGTGAATAGTGCTGCAGTGAACATGGGAGGACAGATGGCTTTTAACAGACTGATTTCATTTCTTTTGGATATATAACCAGTAGTGGATGGCTGGATTATATGGTAGTTCTATTTTTAATATTTTGAGAAACCTCATACTGTTTTCCATAATGGCTGTACTAAAAAAGTTGATCTCATAAAAACTGAGCATAGACTAGTAGTTACCAGAGGCTGGGGAGAGTAGGGGGGTAGGGAGAGATAAGAAAAGGTTGATCAGTGAATACTAAGTTATAGTTAGAGAGGAGCAAGAAGTTCTGATGTGCTGTTGCACAGAAGGGTGACTATAGGTAACATAATGTACTGTACATTTCAAAAACAAAGGATTTTGAAAGTTTTCACCACAAGTAAATGATAAGTGAGGAGTAGAGATGTATAACCTCATTAAATATTACACAGTGTATACAAGTATTGAAATGTCATGTGGAGTTCCACTAGTATGCATAATTGTTAATATTTTTATGAATCAGTTTAAGAGTAAATTTTAAGTTGACATATAAAACATATACAGAGAAATACCTGACTCCTGAATGTAGCACTGAACGCCTTCTCCCTAGAGGCCATGCTTGTGTGACAGCATCCTAGATCAAGGAACAGAACTTTATTTGCCAGGACCCAGAAGGCCCTGGAGCCCCTTTCCTGCACTGGGCCCCTGTCTCCCCAGTTAACCTCCCTCCTGACTGCTAACTCTATTGACTGACTTCACCCATTTTTGAACTTTATGTACCTGTACTCATTATGGGCTCTGTGTTCATTTTCGTTATTGCACTTCCCCCTTTGCCTCCTCTCATTTATCTATAGCTTCTCCCCGTTCCAAGCAAAGTTCATTGTGTATGTTGTTCTTTCCCTCCAAGATGTACCCATCAAATGACCAGCCTGTGGTTCCTTCACCACCATTTACCTTTGTGTGAGGTATACACGGGGCATCCACACCCCCCATTTTGGCTCCACAAATCTGCCTCACCTAAGGAGGAAACTGGCATGAGAACCCTTAGCTCCTCCAGAATTTATACCCAGACTTTGCTCTCAGCTCCATGTTCCATTTATGTGTTGTTCCAAGTTCTTGGCAAGGAGGGACAGGGCACTTGGCTCTTTACATGAACATAGAGCTTGTCATTGCAGGCAGCACTTCACATGCTACAGGTATGCACGGAGCAGATGACAACAGTGGGCTGACAGTGCTTGCAGGAGAGGGACAGTCAGGCAGCTGCATGATGGCCATCTTCCCTTCTTCCCACAGAGCTTTGCCCTCCGACTGCCAGATGCTCCTCTTTTCAGCAACGTTTGAGGACTCTGTGTGGCAGTTTGCTGAGCGAATCATTCCTGACCCTAATGTTATCAAGTTACGCAAAGAGGAGCTGACCCTGAACAACATCCGACAGTATTATGTGTTGTGTGAGAACAGGAAAGACAAATACCAAGCTCTGTGCAACATTTATGGTGGCATCACGATAGGCCAAGCCATCATCTTCTGCCAGGTAAACTTGCTGAATATGTCTTCATCATGCCCAGATTTCCCTACAGGCTGAGGTAAGGGGACTGTGTTCAGCACTTGTTAAATGTTTTCTGGTTTAATCGTCAAAACAGCTCTGCATAGAAGTCCATATTTTAGGGGTAAAACTTAGAAAGGTTGAATAATGAGATACTATCTTTAATATGATGATAAATATAGGTTCTTCTTCTAAAGGTACTGCTTTCTAGCACATCCCTCTAGATTGATGGTTACTGTAATTTTTACAGATGGCTTTATCAGGTTAAGGATGTCGCTTACTATTAACACTGCCCTATGTTTATTTCTGTGTTGTCTGATACTTTTTCAAGCTGATATGTTTTGTTTTCTCCCTGTTGTGTAAACACAGTAAGCTTCATAAGAGCTGGGTCACTGTCTCACTTCATGTCCATATCTGCTGCACTAGACTGGCCCTGCCTGGCACGTGAATAGTGCTAAAAACTTATTTGTAGAAGGAAAGGAAAGTTCACTTCTGCCACAGGCTAGCCATGGAAATTTGGGCAAGTCACCTAACATTTTTAAACTCTGGATTTTTTTTATGTCCATTTAAAAGTTTTTTGATGAGATTACCTAGCTACTTCACTGAAGTATTGCAAAATAACATGCCCACTGCACATGTAAACATTGTAGCCAGGTGCCTGGTGCGTGGACAGCATTCTTGCAGTGTCTGTTGTTTTCATTTTGTTATTATAGCACTCTATGAAGTAGGTGGAGTCTGTTTATTTCCATTTGGTGGGTGAATAGGCCAAAGCTCTGAAGCAAGGCAGCAGGAGAATCCCATGCCACATTCTGGTTTCTCAAGGACTAACCGAGCCTTGAAGCAAATTCCTCTGTAGCTCTGTCCTCTCCCCTGCATCTATGAGCATTGCAGCATAGCCAGTCTGCTTTGACCAGCAGTGCTGTGGTGGATTTTGTTTTTCAACAGACTCGTCGAAATGCCAAGTGGTTAACTGTGGAGATGATGCAGGATGGCCACCAGGTGTCCTTGTTAAGTGGGGAGCTGACAGTGGAACAGCGAGCTTCCATAATTCAGAGGTTTCGGGACGGGAAAGAGAAGGTTCTTATAACAACCAATGTTTGCGCTCGAGGTGTGTGTATTTTAAGTCAGGTGTTGAGGTGTAATTTACACATAATGCAATTCACTCTTTAAGTGTACAGTTTGGTGAGTTTTGATAAACATATATAGCCATGTAACCATCACTGGAATCAAAATACAGAACATTTGCCATTGCTGCAAAATTCCCTCATGCTCCTTTGCAGTCAGTCTCCTCCTCCTGTCACATGGCCCCTGGCAACTGCTGATCACATTTATGTCTCTATATTTTTGTTTCTTCCAGAGTGCTACATAAATTAAATTCTATAGTGTGTAGCCTTTTTGTTTCACTTCTTCCACATAAAATAATGCTTTTGAGTTTCATCAATAATCCTTTCCTTTTTATTGCTAGTAGTATTCCACTGGTACTTCATCCATTGACTAGCTAGATATTTGGGTTGCTTCCAGTTTAGTATTATTTTGAATATAGCTATAATAGAAATTCAGGTCTTTGTGTAGACATGTTTTCCCTTCTCTTGAGTAGATACCTACGAGTGGGATTTCTGGGTCATATGACAAGTGTATATGCAGCTTTGTAAGAAACTAAACACCTTTTCCGCCATGACTAGACCATTTTGCATTCCCATCAGCAGTATAGGAGAGTGGCAGTTCCTCTGCTTCCTTGCTAGTGACTAATATTGTTACTCCTTCTGATTTTAATTGTTCCAGTAGATATGCAATAGTATCCCCCTGAATTTGCATTTTCCTAATAACTAATAAGATTGAGCATCTTTGAGCTGTTTCTAGTTTTAAAACTATTGACTACTAGAAAAAAAAAAATCTTTGTTTTTTCAAAAGATAGGTCCTCCCACTTTCTTCATCCCTCCCATATCCTTATTTGAACCCCATACTCAAGCCACGTTTCCTAGTTCATTCTGAGTTCAGCAAATAGAACTAAGAGCCTGCTGTGTTAGGAACAGATGCTGGGCTGCCCATCCAATGGAACTTTCTGCACTGGGTGGAAATGTTCAATTCTGTGCTGTCCATTTAGTAGTCATCAGCCACATATGGCTCTCAAGCACTTGAAACATCATTGGTGTGACTGAGGAAATGAATTATTAATTAATTTAAAGCCACATGGTGCTAATAGTTACCCTATTGAATAGCACAACTCCACCCTAGAGGAAAGAAGGCATAGATCTCCAGGATGAAGACTCAGGGTTGTGACCCAGACAGCTTGTTAATGTGGGGGACAGAAGGCCCAGAGAACACAGAAGTCTTCCTAGGCAATGCTAGATTTGAAAAGTTTTAAAGGAAAGGTAGCAGTTCACTTGGATGGAAACTTACAGTATGTTTAGGAAAGGCCAGACCTTGTGGTTAGTGTGTGGCATTTGTGAGTCAGGAGAGGAAGAGGTAAGACTTCAGATGGTTTGAGGTCTTGATTGTGCACTGGACCTTGCTGTAGTGACTGTTTCAGAAGAGATTAGTAGAGTAACAGAAGAGATAGAAGAGAAACCAGTCTGAAAGTTATTGTAGCAGTTGAGGCGAGGCATGAAAAGACCTCACAAAGTAGCCATGGAATAGAGCACAGCTGTCATCCCATGATGAGTGAAAGGAAACTGACTAAGGGTCCTGCTTGGGACAGCACAGCAGGAACAGAGGAAAGGGTGGTTCTGTGGGCTAGGTGAGTGTACCTCTCCCTCCTGCCTCTCCATCCCCCAGCATTCGCACACACATTGTACATGTAGAATTAGCCTCTGCTCGCACTGTTATACAGCATCATAGATACGACAGCACACAAGCAAACTGCCTGACCAGAGTACCTATTTCAATGACATAAAGCCAGGTTTGATTTCCAGATTGTCTCCATCAGTGAACATTCCCTTGGCAAATGTGGTTCTTGAATGGCTATGTCCTGATGAAAAATATTCTAAAACTCTACAGTGTTTTCCCTCTCCTAGGGATTGATGTGAAGCAGGTCACAATTGTTGTGAATTTTGATCTCCCTGTAAACCAAGCAGAAGAGCCAGACTACGAGACCTACCTCCACCGCATAGGGCGGACAGGACGTTTTGGGAAAAAAGGCCTCGCCTTCAACATGATTGAAGTGGACAAGCTTCCCCTGCTTATGAAAATCCAGGACCACTTTAGTGAGTAGCACCATTTTCACAGCAGGAGCTGCAGACCTGCTCATGCGGACAGGGGTGATGTATACCAGGGAGTTCAAGTCTAGAGGCTTGGGATGGTGTGGAGCAGAAGCCAGGTGTGGAAGGCTTCCAATTCACAGGACCACATTTCTGACCTGGATACTTGATTAAGTAATTCTTATACAGTAGTTAAAGAAAATTTTAAAAATCAAGTAGAATTCTTGTAAGCTTATTCTGTAATCCAGAGCACATCCTATAAAGATGTACCCTAGGCAAAGTAAAAAAATTCCTTTAGGAATATATCTTCTCCTACTTTACTCTTTTATTTACATTTTTCTTTCCTCTTGCCCCACCATCTCAGAACGGTCCTGAATTCTGAGGTTTTTCAGTCCTTCTTCCAGCCTCCTTTCTAAACAAGGTGGGCTCATAATAACCTGCTGGGACCCTGGACAGACACAGTGCACTGATGAAATCCTGAAGGGTCACATCGCTTGGATGTTCACTCCTCATATTGCCCCATATCACAGAGAGCATGGATATGGCTAGGGAGCAGGACAAGAGGAACATTAAGTACCACCTTCTAGAATGGTAGTACTTAACCCTTGTTGGAAGAAATGGGCATCCTCCCTGAGAAAGCCCTATAGGCACATATATAACATTTGGAGTATAATTTTAAAAGGTTTTCAGGCTGAATGTTGTACATCCACTGATTTTCAAAGAATTGGTTATGTTCACTTGTGTTAGGCTACCTGGGGAAGACCGGGGAAGAAGGAGCCACGAAGGTCACTGTTACTGTGGCAAGTTCTTCAGGACATGGTCTTGGGAAGTGACCACAGTAGAGGAGCCTTAGTTCTTCCCAAGCTCTTCTCACTGTCACTGTAGTATTATTTAGCCTCAAGGTACATGGATATATGTGTTCTGTGTTCTGCCACATTTGCTGCTGTTTTGGTTGGTATTGGTTGGTTAAGTTCTAATCTTAGGCTTTCTATACAAGGTTCCACAGGAACATATATTTTTAAAGGTGTCACTGTCTTCAGAAATTCAGAGAGGGCTGGAATGAACTTCATTTAGGTCCTAGGGTAAGACTGGTTCCTTTCTCTTTTGTTCTTTTAGATAGCAGTATTAAGCAACTGGACCCTGAAGACATGGATGAAATTGAAAAGATTGAATACTGAAGAACTTTATTGTTTGTGAGATATCCTAGTTTATGTGAGAATGTTCCAGCAGGTTTTGAAGGTAATTTTTTATGTTGAGGCTGTTTCGGTGTGAAATTGTCACAGATGGCAAAATAAATGTCATGGTACCCTTCATTCTAAGACCTGAGGTCTTTTTGAAACCAAATTGACATGAGGCACGTGATACTTTTAAATAATACACCAAGATTCTTTCTTTCTTTCTTTTTCTTTTTTTAAATTTATTTTGAAACAGAGTTTCACTACATAGCCCAGACTGGCCTCAAACTCCAAACTTATTATGTATGTCAGGCTAGCCTCAAACTCACAGTCCTTCTGCCTCAGTCTTCAAAATGCTGGGACACAGGCATGAGCTACCACTCCTAGCTAAGATTCTTTCTTATTGTAATCTTTTTACAGGTAAACATCTGAGTATATGCTACTGGGATGTTTTTGAGTTTAGTTTATGTAAACTGTGCCAATCATGCCTCTTGTTAGCCAGTGCCACAAGGTGGCAGTAGAACTTCGCTGGTTTTGGAATTTGAACTGGTAGGACAAACTGAAAAGCCACATATTTTCAGGCCTGAAAGGCACCTTTTCTAGCCATTAATGTCCCCCCTCTCCCCCCGCCCCCCACATACCATCTCATCCCCTCCCCTGCAGCTCTCTGAACCCACAATATGTGGGAATGCCTTCTGAGCTGAGAGTAGAAAGAAAAACCTTTAAAAAGTGCAGTGTTTGAAACGGAGAGCATTTTGCCTTTTTAATATTTCAAGTGACATCCAAAGTTTCAGGATATTTTTCCTATATTGCTTTTTACTGTCTTCAAATTAACCAGGAAAAGGAAGATGAATACAAAACAACACATACCTCAGAATTCAGTCTAAATGGTAGAGACTCAGAATAAGCTGGCATCAGAACAGACTGTGCTAAAGGAGAGACATTCAGGTCACTAGTGTCACACAGAGGAGGGACCTGTAATGTCCTCTGTTTTTTGTTTTGTTTGTCTATTTGTTTTATGGAACTGGAGTTGGGGCTTCTCACTTGCAAAACAGAGCAGATGTACTATCACTTGAGCAAGTCCCCCTAACACCCTTTGGACCAGCTTCAGAAGAGAGGATATACAGGTTGTCCTACAGGAGGGCAGGACATATTCAATAATGCCTTCCCAGTGTGCACCTAGCAATTTCCTAACCTGAGTCTATTGAGGCAAGGTTCTAGACCAAGCTTATCACTAGAATTAACTAGAGAGCCAAGCAAAAACCACAGATTTCCTCTCTCAGGCAGACAAAGCTAGAGTGTCTGAGGGTAGAATCCAGAAATTCTTATAGGAATACTGAACACATAGAGCAATACACCACCATCTAGGGAGGAGACATTGGGGCCGAGAAGTTCTGAGAGACAGAACTTATCAAAGTAGAGCTCCTACTTAGGAATGTCCACTGCAGTGTTCTCCTTACACTGTATCTGCCTTCCTCCCTGGACTGGAACCTGATTTTCTTGTCCATTCAATACCCAACGTGACACAGTGCTCAGGACATGATAGGCACTCAATGAATATTTATACTCTTTAAGTAAGTATTTTTCCTTTTTTGCCATTTCCTCATTCACTAACATTTTTCCTTGATGTTTTGCAAGTTTTGAACCCCAGTTATATGAGCCAGGATGAGTAAGCATGGGAAGCCTATCACAATACTGCTGTTTCACTTACTATTTAAGAATTGAATTAGACTTTCTATCCTACTCACTCAGCCTTGGTGTGCCCTAAACAAAACATTACCACCTCCCTTTCCAGTTCAGATCTCTGGTAAGACTATCATTACCCTCATGAGTGCCTACAGTAATCTCCATTTGGCAACTGTTCCCAGAGTGTCTACAAACACTAGGCATTCTTCTGCTTTCCCCTTTGTCCCCTCTTCATCTCCCTTTGTCTTGCCACCTAGGAGGCAGCAAAACCATCCTGCTTTCTGCATGGGTCACAGCTGTATTAACACTAACTGCCCAGTTTGGTGAGTCAACAGTCCAAAGGCTATTTTGCAGGGTATAGCAACTTGCTCAGAACTGTAAGCAATTTTCACATCTCCACACGTGGCCTGGCCAAGGTCATCTCTCTCGGTGCCTGCCCAAGGAAGAAGTAATGGAGAGGCAAGAAATAGCTCGATGAGTTCAGTGCATCTGTGAGCTGGCTTAATCAGCTGTGTATTACTTGGCACCAAAGACTAAACCAGATCCATTAGGTTTATCTTGGCCAGCTTAATTCTGCTAGCAAATTGAACTTCATGAGTATGTGGAGCAAGGCTGTGATTTGCAGTGGGATTGTAAGTGACCACCTAGCCTGAAGCCTGCTGCTGTGGTGCTAGGCACTGGATATAAGGCAGCTACTACTAATAGGAAAGGCAAATAAGTTGGTCATAGTCTGGTACAATGTCTCACAGCTCCTTCTCAAGAGGCATTATTGTGTTTGGAGAAAATGTTCATCCTCCGCAGTGAAGGTCAGTCACCATGAAAGTCACTGGCAGTCTCTGCACATATGGTCAACAGTGGAAAATCTTAGAGGATTGCTGGGGTAGGGGCAGGACAGTGAGCAGTACCTTTCCAGACACCAGGGAGTGAGGCTGGTTGTGCCAAGCCTTGGCTTGGCTCTTGGCTGTTGGTCCTCTTAATTCAAGTAGGGGCCTAAATCAGAAAAAGGGTTAACATAGAGACATCTAGATGTGGGATGGGACCTGCACTTCTTTGCACTCTGAGCTGAGGCCTTCCTCTGCCTCATCTGCTGCTGTGTTGACATCCATGCATGCTGATCCTCTCAGGAGGGCCTTCCAGAACCAGCATTGGGCAGTTACTAGTCTTACCAAGGAGCAACAGATTCTCTTTAGTCCTAATCCTCTCTGGGGAATAATCAGGTAAATGGAAGACCTTTATTCCATTTTATCTAACAACCTGAAATAGCAGTCTTGCTCTGAGCTTCAGAGAATACCAACTTGCTGCTATAGAAAGAATCCAGAAAGGTACTCACTTAACATTTGTCTACCTTCCACGTCCATGGCTGAGAGAAGAATTAGACTTCCCCCTGACTCTCCTTCTCTTCTGTTCTGCCTCTTACATCCTAGGCTGGTGTTCTCATCTGGATTCTGCCTTCCATGTGCCACAGACTAAGTCATGCTCTGGCCTTGCATCCACTCCTCTCCCTGCTCTTCACTGTGTTGCCTGGTATTGGCTCAGAGAAACACAGCTTTAGACACTTCTCTCTTCTTCTGGTTTCTCTTACTGCTTTGCAAACTATCAGTTTAAAATGTGGGTGGGACTGAAATACCATTATACATTTTTAATGTGGAGTCTCCATACTCCTTTGAACTTACACTCTCACTCTTCTAGAAAAATACAGGAAATACACCTGAAGTGAGCTGATTCTTGGCTAGAGAAGTAACTGTGTCTTGGCCAATCCACAGAGGGTCCCCTGTAACTGCCCATCCCTCCACCAGTTTATCAGCCTTTCAGTTCTGCCAAGGTTAGAAACAAGGCAAAGCTCTTGTACAGTAAGAAAGATTCTTTTTTTTTCTTGCCATACTGAGGTTTGAAATCAGGGCCAGAGCCATGCTCCCAGCCCAAGAAAGATGATCTCTGGAGAGAGGTTCTTTCCATCTTGTATTCAGGAGAACTGACAGAATTTTTTTTTAAACTGAGAATCTGAAGTTTTTAGAGAGAAGTGTGGTAACTATCTGTAGTACTTTTCTTGGGGAATTCATCTTTGCCCATAATTCTTTCCTAATCAGTGGAATAACGGACTTTCTGTATTCCAGCTTTGAAAGTATATTTCTCCATCATGAGTGGGGATGGTACGCTGTTTGGAGCTTAGTACTTTTCTTCTGCTAGAAAGAATGATACAGTCCCAGTCCCTTGGTTTGTGATTCGTGACTTGAAATCCCAGTTGGAAGGGAGTGATTGACTAGTAAGCCCTCCTTCATGTGAAGTTCAGAGGCATGGTTATGTATGTCAGCTTTGGGCATGATTTAAGAAGATACAGACTGAGCAGGCCACTTTGTGAGAGAGTAAGCTACCCATCCACAGGAGTATGTAATCAAACAGAAGGTGAACAGTTAACTTGTAATGTGTTCTATACTTCTGGTTCTTGAATTATCAAGTTTGACTCTGAGGCACTGCCCACTCAAAGATGCCCTGTGTCCTTGTCCATACACATAACAGTGCCACACACAGAAGAACGTGAGCCATAGAGGCTTTGCACAGAAGAGGATTATTCTTCACAAACAAAATGAAAATCGGGTGATTAGCTTCTAATTGCCCCCTGTCTTAACTTTCACATTCACTGGCTTCTTCCCCATGTGACCATCTCTTTATACCACGCTCCATCAGCTTATGCAGAATGTGGATTATCTTTAATATTCATACTATAAGAGCAATAAAACAGTCAACAAAAGTAGTAGCACATGTTATCAAAAAATCTCATTACTAAACCATTACAATTATTGTCTTGATATAGTTCTTTTCATCTTAATATGGAGATAGTTCAACATAGTGCATGTCTGTTATTATATCCTTTTATTTGAAATATCCAGGTTTTTCATATGGTTACATAGTCTTAGGGATAATAATAATAATGATAGAGCATATTATCCTATCTGGTGAATATGCATATAACTATCTTTGTTCAACATTTATGTGGTGTCTAGTTTTCCAGCATTATAATTATAAGTATGCTGCAGTGAATATCTTCTTGACCAATATTTTGAATTATTTCTTAGGATTAGAGATGTTAAATTGGAGTAGCAGGTCAAAAAATAAGAGCATTTCAATGGTTTTAATAGATAGTAACAAACTGCATCAAGAGACTGTGGCTATACCAATGGATGTTCTTCACCTTACCAGCAATGGATATTTTCATTTTAAAATTGCGTGGTAACTTGTTTTGGTTTACATTTCTTCATGCAAACAAAATTGAGTATTTCTTTGTGTGTGGTTCATTGTTTGAAAAATATCTGTTGTATCCTTTGCCCATTTATCTTATGAGCTCTTAAATGTTATCAAGTTGTGTGACATATATGTGTGAATTGTTTTTTCTAAATACAATAAAGATATTAACCTTTTTATTGAAAATATATTTTCCCAGTATGTCTGCTTTTTAAAATTTATGTTAGATAATAAACCACATTAACAGAAGCAAAGACAAAAACCACTTGATCATCTCAATAGATGCAGAAAAA